GAGCATAACTCCCGTCGGTGATCAGGCAAAAGACACCATTTTTGCGATATCATCTTTACATGAATCTTGTGCAAGAACGGCTGGTGAAATACGCTGATGCGAAGAGTGTGGAAAGGGGGGGTCGTCGTATTCTTGGTGTGACAGCGGTTTTGAATGCGGAAGGTCTTTCTTGGGGGATGATAAATTCTCAATCTCTGGATGTTCTGCGCGAAACTATTAGGATGGATCAAAAGTACTTCCCTGAGGCATTGCATCGCCTTATTGTGATTAATTGTCCTTCTTTTGTCACGCATGCCTATTCGCTGATCAGGGGTTCGCTTGATAAAAACACCCAACAGAAAATTATCTTCTGTGAGAAGGCATATTCAATGGAATTATTGAAGAAAATTGTTGATGAGGACAAAATACCGGTATTTTTGGGTGGTTCCTGCAGTTGTTCGGGCGGCTGCTTACCAGGAATAGATTCGGAATGTAGGAGTCTTGCGGATGCGCCTTTCCCCGTGCCTCGCACGGAATACGTCTCCATTGCGGCGGGGAAGCGGCATACGATTGAGTTTTTGCTTCAGCCGGATGAGGAAGCTCAGTGGGAATTCAGGTGTACGAAGTCTTGGGGAGGACAAGCGACAGAAATTGGGTTTCGTGCAGTCTTTGCGTCACAAGATGATGTAGACACCGGGGACTCGTTTTGGACCAATCCGACGGTGGGGTCGCAACGAACCTCAGGGAGCCTGTATGGATTGCTGGAAGTTTCTTCCTCTTTTAGGGAGTTAAAGTCGGAAAAGATGGAAATGGACCGTGACCGATTTGTGGCTAAAGTGTGTGGGACGTTGAAACTGGAGTGGGATAACCATTCTTCGTGGCTTCAAACCAAATACTTGCAATTGCGTGTCATAAAGACTTAACGCTGAGGTTTTTACTTTGAGCCGTCTCAAGAAATATGGTTACTGGACGTCGTGACGCGTTTGCCCTTTTTTTTTTTTTTTTTTTCCTTTTTTTTCTCTTCAATTTAACGGTTCTCCTTTTGTCTTTATGTCAGTTTTTTTTTTTTTTTTTTTTTTTTTTGCTTTTTTTTTGCTTTTTTTTTGCTTTTTGCTTCTTTGATATTTTCCGATCTTTTCTTGTATTTCTCTCACTGTTATACCCAACGATACATATATGTATATATATATGTATACATGTATGTGTTTACTTCTATAGGTAGATCGGTGCATGACGTTTTGTGTAAATGAATGCATCGGAGTTTTAACCGAATGTAGTAGGATGCTGCTTTGTATTTATTTGTTGACGTGGTGCTTTGGATGTTTTCCTTCCAGAGTGCACCTCTCGCTTCCGCGTGTGTGTGGGGTGCGGTGTTGCAGGAATTGACAAGAAGAATATATAAATATATATTCCACGGAGATGGTATGAAAGCTGCAAGGAGTATGGAACCAACCCTTAACCCCTCTTCCTCCTTTTTTTTTTTTTTTTTTTGCTGTTTGAGTGTGTTTCTCATGGTTGCCTTATTTTTGTCGTTGTTTTTCTTTTGTCTGCATTATTCGATGTGTAAGTGATGCTTTTGCATGTTTTCTTGGATGCGGCCTTCCTGTCACCATCAGTTTTCTTGTTTTCCTTTATTTCTTATTTATTTCTTATCTGCGATGTGTGCTCTAATTGAGGTGGCGCCGGGTGCATCCTGGTGAATATTGACTGGTGGAGGGCAGGGGTACCAGGACGCCAAAAAGGGGACGGTGGCTTCTCGCGTGTCCGCAGCAGCAGCAGCAGCGGAAAAAAGATAAATAAAAGTAGAGAAGTTTATGTTCTTTTGTGTAAAGGCGTGTCGCTTTTGGTTTTGCTGTTTCCTGTGACTTCTGGCGTCAGCTGCGTGTAGGCAGGGGTGTCTCTCATACACGTGGCCTAAAGCCATCGGCGGACAAAAATTCCTTATTTGTACGGAGCATTTCCACTTTCATTGTTTGTTGTCTTCCTTTGGGCCTTCGGGCGATCGGGGGAGGTGATCGACAGATGGACAGCAACTTGCAATCCGGGGGGGCGAAGGCACGCAGGAAGACCGAGACCAATGGGGATATGGATGCCCTGGTGGCGGAGGTTCTTCACCGCATAGGCCTTCAAGCCTCCGATGGCGTTGGTTCGGCGTCGTCGATGCACGAAAAGAGGTGTGAGGGGGAAAATGATGTCTCAGTCGTGACAGGAAGCACAGGGGAAGTGGCAGAACTTTCATTTTCGGGATTTCCGCAATTTGAGCACTGTTGCAGCGCGGAATTCCGCCGTCTTCTCACCTACCGGTATCTGAAGGCGAACAATTTTGACGTGGAGGATACCGTGGCAATGATTGTTGACACGAATAAATTTCGAAAACAGCACAGACTGGACTCAATCATGATATTTCCTTCCCTGATTCCCTTGCGTGGCTTTTCAGAAAATGAAATCTGCGGCACATTGCACCTTCCAATGGCAATGGAGAATCCGATGGGATCGGGAAGCCATGACAATACGTCTTTAAGGGATAGTCAGATGGAGTATCTAAATAATCATCATATTCTACGTCCAATCGTGAAATTAATCACTAGACATTATGCGAATAGTATTCATTATTGGGATAAGGATGGCCATCCAGTCTTATATGGTAGGCTGCAGCATATAAAGATTCATGAGCTTTATCGTGAATTGCGACGCATCTCACCGCTTCGTCAACGTCCAGAAGATCTCATTCTGCTTTTTCATTTGTACGGCAATGAACTCCTCTGGAGGGTAGTACAGTACTGCAGTGTACGGAACAGGGTTTCAGGAACAGAGCAAGAAATTGGATGGAAAGAAACTATGACAACTGTGACTGTGGTTGTGGATTGCAAGGGAGCACGTCTTCTTGATTATATTTGGGGGCCTTTTCCAAGAATCCTTCGTGAGATTATTAATCTTGACCAGAAGTATTATCCGGAAATTCTCCACAAATTGGTTCTGGCCAACTGCCCCAAGAGCGTTGCCTTTGCCCATTGGTTTTCAAAGCAACTTGGAGCTGGCAAGCAAAGTCTCCGGCGAAAGATTTTATGCGTTAGTGAAGAAAATGCACCGTCTTTATTAAAATTGTTGATCGATGAAGACAAATTGCCTGCTTTCTTGGGTGGGACATGCAGGTGCGAGGGGGGTTGTGTGCCTCTGAACGGATCCACAAGCAATGGCACTATGTGTTACTTCTTTGATTCAAATAACTTGGCCCGAATGGTGCACCCGAGTGGGAGCGTGCTAAGCATGGAGGATTTGCCTTTTGAACAGCTTGAAGGCGAAGCTGGCAGTTTGAGTTTTTTAGTTCAGAAAGAAACGGAAAATTTTGTCGTTCGGGCCCGCCGCAAACTCACCCTCACTTATGAAGTCGGAGACCCTGAAGAAATCACGTGGGAGTTTGCGGTGAAGCACGGTGAAATTGGGTTTAGTGCCGTCTTTGTCGCGTGCTCTGCGGATGGTCATACCGAAATCCTGATGCCGCCAAGTACGGTGAAGGAGGCGGCAGACCATTTCGTGTTTGGCACACGGGGAGAGCTTATCTTGACGTGGGACAACACGCGGTCATTACTTACCGTGCGTAAAATTCAGCTACGTGTGCACCGTCGGGTGCAAAGGCTTGCCCCGCAAAGGGAGGCGAACGTTGCCACAGTGACTGAAAGGAAATGAGGAAGATGCATGAAAGAAGAGTTCTTCAGGCATACCAACAGCAAAATGAATGAATGTGCCATCTCTGTCCCCTAAAAATTTGCTGTTCCCAGCATCTGGTATGTGATTGTGTGTTTGAGTCTTTTTTTTTTTTTTGTCTTACTTTCTGAAGGGTGTCATTTGCGCTAGAAGGGAGTCACGGTGGCATTGCAATTAATGTGAAACATGGTTTCTTTACTCCGGAGAAAAGACGGTGATGCATGTATATATATATACATATACATATACATCCTACTTCCCCTATCAGTACCACTACCCTCTTCAAAATAAAATAGAAAAAAAAAAAGTTATTGCTTTGTTTTTCATGTGCTTTTGTGTGTGTTTCTTTTTTGTTTGTTTGGTTATTTGTGTTATTATTTTGTTTGTACTTCCCATATTTTCTAATCCTGTTGGTGCATATGGAGGATGGAAGAAATAAAAAGGGAAGAGGGGTGCTGCAGCACCCGTGGATGCATATATGGTGCTGTGTGGCCGAATCCTTCGGTTGGGGAGGAGAAAAAAGTATATATTTTACATTATATTATTATTATTTATTTTTCCCTTTCGATTCAAAGATCAAGAAATTGCAAAAGTCATGAAATCATTGCTTGGAACACTCATTTTTTGTGTGTGTTTCTTTGTGGAGGAGAAAAGAATAGTTTTGCGTGTTGACTTTCCTTTCCTTTTTTTTTTTTTTTTTTTTTTTTTTTTTTTCACGTTTTCTGGGGATTGGGACGAAACCAGAGAGAGAGAGAGAAAGGGAGAAACTGACGTCAGTTTGCTGTTTTTTTTTGCGCTGGGTTTCTTTTTGTTTTTCTATTTTTTTTTTTTTTTGTTTTGTTTTTCTTTTTGTCTCTTCTCTACCCAAAAGTTAAGATCGGCTCGGCTTGTTTCAGGGGGACGCTTGCTGTGTGGGTCCGGCTCGCTCCTCCGAGAGAAGCCGTGCGTGGGCGGGTAGTAATCGGGACAATAAACACAAATAGACCTTTTGTCTTCTCCGCTCGAACATAAAGGATACGTGTATAAACACACCCAAAAAAAAAAAAAAAAACAGACGTAAGGATAAAGATGTTTTACAAAATGGAGTTGCAGAAAATCATCAGGGTGGAGCCGCATCTGTTGGGTCGGACGCTGCACCGCCACCTTGCTAAATACCTGCGCCATGCTGTGGAGGGGCACCCTTTCCAGATGCCTCTCCTAAAAGGAAGCAATGGGGAGGTGGTTCGAGTGGATCAAAGTTCCTCTGCAGTCATTGTAGCTGTGCTTGACATTCTGAATACGGAATTGCTTGAAGGCCGAGTCTTAGATGATGGTGGGGTGTCGTTTCTGCTCCATTATGAGGCCCTTGTTTTTAAGTTGCATCGTGGCGAAGTTGTGGATTTGATGGTAGTTGCTGTAGAGCGCGAGGGATGGTGGGGGGATGTGTTGGGAGTTGGGAAAATGTACATCAGCCGTGGTCAGATGGGAAGTGAGTGGGTGTACGAAAGTGATGGCGTGGAAGGCATATGGATTACGAAGGATGGATCACGCTCCGTGAAAAATGGTGAAATCGTGCGTGTGCGTGTTGTTGCCGAGACGCCACAGTCGGAGGGTGTTGTGGCAATTGGCAGCATGATTGGAAAATACTTGGGTACATTCTAACCGATAAACTCTGAGTGGAGGACCGCGTTTTTGACTGATATTGCGGTACTGGTATGGATGCAAGTGCTCTATATCTGTGTGTGCGTGTGGATGTGTGTGTGTGTCTCATTGTGAGGTGGCCTTTTTTTTCTTTTTTTTTTTTTACTTTACCCTAAGCAAAGACCAAATAAATAAATAAGAAGGCATCGATAGGACGGTAGTGAGGGGTGTACATGGCGCAGGACGACACTCCCACTGCTGGCAAGACACCCAAGGAGAAAAGGCAGTACTCCTGTAACTGGGCCCGCATTGTACTCGGTGTGTCCGCGGTAGCTATGGTGGCTTTTGCATGGCGCAGCGTGTATAAGGCCAACCAACGGGAGCTTCATTTGCGGCGAACGATGGAGCAGAATAGGCAGTTACTCTCTGCGTTGGCGGAGGTTCCAGGTAAGCGCTTTTTCGTCACCGATGTGAACCCTGAGGTTCTACGAAAAAAGGCCTTGTTTGGGTGACATGTTGGTGGTGGTGGTGGCGGTGTGTTTTGTTGTTGTTGCCTTTTCAGTATGTTTGTGTGTGGCTTATTTTCGTGACAAATGTTTGTGTGGAGGGAGTGCTCATGGCAATGCGGAGTTATTTATGATTGTTCTTCCCTTCTGACTTTTTTTTTTTTTTTTTTTTTTTTTTTTGGCTGTAATGTGTAGTCTCCGTTGCCTATATACACCGGTGGTACGTTGTGTACAACTAGTAACTGTAGCATTAGACGGAGCTTTTGACGCGTTTGTCGGCGGGTGTTTCTTGCTGTTGTGGGAGCGGAAAAGTGAAGGAGGCGGCAAGCAAATTTCCTTTTTCGTGGGCAAAGACAACCCCCTTCGCGGCGTGTACAGGCACGGTTTATCAAGCTTCCCCGAGTTTGTTTATTTATAACAGGAACGCGGGAGCACGGCAACCTTTTTTTTTTTTTTTAGTTTTGTAACTGGCACGCACGTTGGAAATTTTTAAAAGAAAGGAATAGAAATTGGTGGGAAAGTGGTGGCTTGTGAAAGCGGGTGCGGGGAGGGAAATCACCACAACCTCGCTCTCCCGACCACCCCTTGAGTGATGATGTCCGTAAAGAAGACACTGAACCGTGACGGCAACACACCTTTTGCGCCATGCTGGATGCAATATGATGATGATGATGATTGCGCTGATGGAGTGCCACGTCTCAAAGGTGATTGCAACTCACAGGTGGTTTACGGCTGCGCTATCGGCCACGGTGGCGACCGCGGCTCACTTGTGTACAGCGTTGGGAGGACGATTGACGCCTCGTGCTCTGTTGGGTACCCGTTGGCGCTTAAAATATACCCGATCAGTGTTACGGAAAACGAAATTGAATTTATCCGTGCACTTTTTGCCAACGATCTCACTGCATTCAGTCGCTCCGGGGAGAGTTGTGGGGTTTGCCGTCAGGTGCCTTATTTGGTGCTTCCGTTGGCCATTGTCACGATTGGGGGTGTCGATCGCGGTATTCTTATGCCGCAGCACAGCTACAGCCTTAAGCAATTCCTTTTTGTCACAAGGACCGTGCCTGAAATTCCTGGCGAAGGAGAAGGTGAGGCGGAGTTTAAGGGATATAACAAGGCTTTCACAAATTCGCTTCGATCTTTCCGTTCCTTTGACCCTATTCGTGATTGCAGGGTCGTCACTGCCATCGCGTTTCAGCTGGTTGTTGCTATTAGCCTCCTCAATGAGGAGTTACCACATGTGAAGAACGGTATGTTGTGCCGTGGGTTTACCCACAATGATATTCACTTAGACAATATTTTGCTGAACAGACAATCGGGCTGTGCCGCTCTGTGCGACTTTGAGCTTGTGGGACACATTTCTCAGGACGGCGAGGGGCTGCCGCCGCCTGCCATTCATCGACTACCGCCCTACTGCAGGCAATCTCCCCATGGCCTCTTCTGTCTCACAGCTGACACATGGGCTATCGGTCTTGTGGTACTGTCACTTTTGACTGGTGTCGATCCACTCTTTGATGACGACAAGCTCATGGATGACTTTGGCGACGGACCGCTTTTGCAAAGTCACACAATGTCGGAGGGGACGGTCTCTGTGCTTGACTGGGAGGAAAACATAAAGGCGCACGTGGAGGCGCTGCTGCTTCGCGATGATCCCACAGGCAAACGTTTGGAGGACGCAGCACCGCTCCTGGATATGTGCTCAAAGTGCCTTGTCAATCGCCCCGGGGTCTCGCCGAGCGTCGCTGTGGAGTTGCTGAGCCAGCCGCTCTTCAGTTCCTACGTAAACTCTCCACAGGAAGCGGAGTTCATACTGAGAGTTTGGGCAGAGAGCCGCTCGGAGGCTTTTTCGGTGAAAGATGTCCATGACGGCACCGACAGCCCATGATGTCGGAGGCCTGTGAGGCGACAAAAGAAAAACAAAAACAAAAGAAAAATAAAAAGCGAAAAAAACAAAAACAAACAAAAAATAAAAAGAAGAAAAAAGAGAGGGATGAGAAAAGGAGTAGGCTGCGTTAATCATTAGCATCCGTGAGAAGAGGAAGGAAAGGCAAAATAAAAAAAATGATAATAATAATAATTATTATTATTATTATTATTATTAAGAAAGGGAAAAAAAGAAGAAGAAGGCTGTGTATACAACGCTACAGCGAGAAGTAAAAGATAATGTTAAGAAAGAGAGAATGAGAGGGAAGAAAAAAGAGGATAAAAAGATGAGATGAATTGTACGAAGGGAAGAAAAGAAAAAAAAAAAAAAAAATCAATATTGTGAATGGTAATTTGTAGTGTTTTTTTGATTTTTTTTTTTTTTTTTTTTTTGATTTTCTTTTCTTTTCTTTTATTTCATCTTTTTTTGTTGTTGTTTTGTTTTACTCTTTCTGTTCTTCTTCTTATGGTGATGAATGTGATTTTTCTTTGTTGGTTTTATCTGGCTTTTTGTTGTTGTTTTTTGATTTTTTTTGCGGTTCTTTTGTTGTTTTTTTTATTTTTATTTTTCTTTTGTTAGCAGTATATTTGATGTGGTCGCGTTTGTAATAGCCGCCACATCATTTCCTTTTTTTTTTTTTTTTTTTTTCTCTCTATCTATCCACCTTTTTTCTGTACATGCGTGATGGTGTTTTGTGTGTGTTTCTGCGCGGTATCTCGCTGCCATTTCCCCACGAAGGTGCGGGTGATGGGGAGGAAAGAGTGGAGCGAGCTTCCAGCGAAGATGAGGAAAAAAAGAGCACACACACAGAGAGAGAGAGAGAGAAAGAAAGAAAGAGAGGAAAAATAAAGGAGGTTACATAAAGTAGGGGGGAGGGAGAAAGGCCATTTGTTTGTGCGTGGTACGTGCCTGCAGTGGACCAAAGGGAAAGTGAACGCATGCCTCTTCATTTATGAAATGTGTTGTGTTGATTGTATTTGTGTAATTATTGCGGTATAACTCCGTCACATGGTACTGACGTGTTTCCCTCTTTTTGCCGTTGGCCACCGTCGCCGCGATGTTTCCGCCTTAATTTTTACTCGACTTTTTTCTTCAGCGTCATGTGAACTTACCAACATTTTGTTTGCTTTTTTTTTTTTTTTTCCTGTGTGTATCCCTCTCTTAAAGCAAAGAGAGGGGGGAGGGCTCTGGAACGAAAAAAGGGGCCTTAACTTTTTTGTTGTTGTTGCTTCCTCTTAGTTTTATCGGTTCTTCGTCTTTTATGCTGAGCCGTCTGTCACGGACGGTGCCTCTGTTGGGCCCGAGGCGCTCGGCGGCCCGCGAAAAGCGGCTCAAAGACCGCGTCGCTGCGCAGCTGGAGCTGGAGGCGCAGGTGAAGTCCCGAGTGGCCTGTTATCCACATCGATCCCTCACACGACCCGCATTGCGCCTGGATAGGACTCAGGTTAATACGCCACTCTTTCAATCCCAACTTCTCAGTCTGAAGAAAATGGCGAGTGACTTGCGGTGTATTTCGTTCAGTGCCCCAAAAGGGCATTGGGACGCCACAGTTGTGCTCATCAAAAGTCACCCAGACGAGGAAGTGTTCGAGGTGTGGGTGAGCCCGAGCGTTCCGGACTACGATGCCCGAACCTCCATTGCTCCCATGTACGGAATGTGGGAGAACTGTATTTCTTGTGGTGCGACCGCTGCATGGGTGATTCGGCCCCAGTCTGTCACATGTAGTGGATGGGATGAGTACGGCAATGAGAAGACAGAATTACTGGATGGCATGCGGGCAAGGTGTTTGATGCATGAATTGGATCACCTTCACGGCAAGACGATTCTTCATCAGGCATTAGGACCGGAATTTATTGTTAGCGGTATCGCTATGGGGCAGAGGGATTTGTGGCCACCCAATTTTCCCTCTGCAGAGGCGTACGTGACAGCTCCACATCAATTCTTTGACTACGTTAAAAATATTCCTATTGTTCCTCCAGGAATGGAGTGGTGGTATGCACAAAACATGCAGCAACATTTTCAGGATGCTCGTCTGAACCAATGAGGCTTCTCTGGTTTACTGAATACTGAATGTAATGAAGAAGAAAAGAAGTTTTTTTTTTTTTTTGTGGAGAAACGCCGCGGCTCTCTTCTATTTGACTTTTGCGACGCGTTTCTCTTGTGTTTCTTCTTTTTCTTTTCTTTTTTTTTTTGAGTGTCAAGAGAGGTGCCTGTTTTGGAAAAGGAATGAAGCGTATTTTTTTTCTTTTTTTCTTTTGTGTTGACTTGTTATGTTAGTGAAGTTATGTGGTTGGATCTATTTTCTTTCACTGTGTGTGTTTGGCTATTATTATTATTATTATTATTATTTATTTTGCTCTGCCCCTCAATTGCAAAGAAATAGAAGGGCCTACGTCTGTGAGCGAATTCCGTCAGCAGCCAAAAGAGTGCGTCCGTTTTCTCATGACAAGTCTTGCGGATACGTTGACAAAGTACAGTACGATTGGTGCGGCCACAACCTTGGGATGGGCCGGGGATGAATATGCACGGGAGTACATGCAAAGGCTTCTGGTACGCGCCCATGCCATTCTTTCAGCGCATAACTGGAAGATCAGACATTTGAAGGAATTTTATCCACGTAGCGCACGTTTGTTGGGGCTCAATGTGAACAGGGGGGATGAGGTCTGCGTTCGATTTCGTGCGCCAAGTGCAAAGAACACCTTTCTTCCCTTTACAGATGTCATCTGTACAATGTTGCACGAGCTGGCGCATTGCCGGTATTCCAGACATGACAAATACTTCTGGGGCCTTTACTCCCAGCTTGTCACCGAGTGTGAGCAGTTGGAGGTGGGTATTGCATGCGGAAAAATTGTTGGAACTGCAAGCCAGCAGTTCCGCTTCACAGGAAGTCATCGTTTGGGTGGAAGCGGACCGTCACTGCACCCAAATTGTTTAACCTCAATGCGAAAAATTCTTGCGGACGCTGCCCTGAAACGAATTCAGCTGAGTCGTTTTGGGGAGTTTGATGGATGTGGCTGTGATGATGCTGCCACGTCCTCAAGTACAGCAATGGGGAACGATGGTTGGATTTGTAAAAGATGTGGAAATGTTAATATGTCTGTTCTCACGGTGTGCGATTTCTGCTCCGATATCTTGGACCCTATCGGAACCGAGGAAGGATGGGATTGTACACGGTGTTCGTTCCACAACTACTGCAGTCTGCAGCACTGTGAGGCCTGCAGTTATCCACGTTCAAATACACCTGACTCTTCACAATGTGCCGTGCAACATATTAAAGTTTTTGGTGCCCAAACAGGAAATTTGTCTGCTCACGGTTTACTGGGTCGCTTAGCGGATGTTTTGGATCCCATCCTTCGGGAAAGGGGATGGCAGGTGATATGTCTCAATGAGTTTTCTCCAACAACACTGACGGTGATGTCTCAAGGAGAATTTATAGACTCAAGACGTGCAGTACTGAGAGTCCGTCTTCGTTCACCAAATACACCCTCAGAATTTCTGTCTTTTGCGTACGTCTGCACCGCTGCTCTTCACCAGCTGGCTCACATGGTAGAACGTCATCATGGAGTCGCGTTCTTTGAGGTTTGGGTATCAATGCTAAATTGCTGCCTGATGACGGAAAAGGTGCAAGAAGATGTGGTGATGTCCGAAGATATTAAAGGGAGTTTGCTTCAGTTTACAAGACGGTTAGAGACTATACTTGAGGATCAAAGAGGTGGTGGGAAACGGCCGCTGACGATGACCTCAATGCATTCCCTCGTTGCGGATTGTGGAAATGTTGTGAAACGCGAGAGGTCGTCTGAAGAGGATGGAATGACAGGAAATATCCATCACGACTGTGTGGATTCTTTTAGAAACTGGGTGTGCAGTGGGTGCGGTTTTCTCAATTCTATAGGGGCATTCCTGTACTGTGAGGTTTGTGGCACAACTCGCTTGCCCTGCACACCGTCGCTAGAGAAACGACGGGGTTCTTTGGAGGCAATTGTCATCACTGACGACGATGACGATGAGAAGGAGGGATATTCCTCATGTGACAGTGAAGACGTTGTGGTGGTGGCGGTCTGACAGGTCAGGTTCGTATGGGTTCTTTTCTTTGGATTCCTGTTTGATTATTATTACTATTATTTTTTTCTGTGTGTGTGTGTGTGTCTGTGTGTATTCCCGCCGATGCTGTATGTATTGGCTGGAGAAAAACAAAAACAAAAAAAATGGATCAATGCGTCACGCAAAATTCTGTTCTGTTTTCTTCTTTTTTTTTTTGTTGATTTTGTACTGTGTTGTTTTTCTCCTCTATTGACGCATTCTCTTTTGTTTTCTGTTTTGTTTTTTTTTTGTTTGTTTTTCACTGGACTCGTGTGCCCCCTATTTTTCTGTCTGTCTTTATCTACGGGCCCATGCGTTACACGGCCGCCACAAAAGAAGAGAGGGCAAAGAGGAGGTAACTGCCTCGTTGATTTTTCGCTCGTGTCGGTGTTCTTGTGCATGGCGGTGGACGCTGCGTATGCGAACCTGTTTGGCGTGGAGGGAAAAGCAGCTGTGCTCGGATGCGATGAGCTCGGACTTGTTCCGCGGGATTTACTTCACATCCCCAAGAAGTCGCTCGAGCGGGCGGGTGACGATAAAAATGCGGTGCTCGTTCGGTACACATTGATTGAGCGTGCACGGCAAAATAACATACGGAAAGTTTTGGCGATTAAAAATCACCTCATCGCCGACGGTGAGGTGCAGAAGAAGTGGAAGGAGCGATGCAAACTCTTTCCCGACGCCCCCGGTGTGCCGAAAATACCGAAGGCCGTGATGAATAAGATCATGACGGAACTGGACACCGAAACCGACGACGATGATAACATTGACGAACTCGGCCTTACCAAACCCATGCCGCGGTATGGGGATCCACCGGCATCACTCGTTGCTGTTGACGCGAACCGAGAGGTATCAAATGCCTCTTCCTCGACGTCATCAAGAGCGCGGTTCTCTCCCGACAAGCTGCGAAGATTGAACGGTTCCAAAGCATCCAACCCACTCTCCCTCAGCTCGAAGGAAAAACCTCGTAAAAAGAAGGGGCATACCCGTAAATTGAGTAAATTTTGGATAAAACACGCTGCGGATACAAACAGTGGGAAAATTTCAAGCGGTCGTCTTTCAGGAGACAAACGTGATACGTTTTGGCGCCCAAAACCTCCACTGGATCCACCTTTTCTGCCGCCATTGCCATATCCACGTCGTGACGCTGTTACACTTAAAATGGAGTTGAAAGAACTGAATGAATATCGTCAGTTTTTGCTGCGGTACGCACACGACAGTTCTGCAATGGCGCAGGAATATCATGACTTTACAAAGTCCTTGCAGGAGGATAGCAATACCACAGAGAAATTTAGGAACAGGGCCGCAACTTACACCGTAGAAGGCTCAAAGTTTGTGAATGAGGATGAGTTAACTCCATTAGGGCCTGCAGATGGTGGGAATGTTACCAAGTCGACATTTACAAAGGGTAGCATATCAAACCATAAGCGACAGCTTGATGCGTATGTGCGTCTGGCACGGTTAGAGATTCGAAGAAACATTTCAAACTACAAGAAGTGGAACGGGTTTATGGAAGAGATGGAAGGTGTGGAGTCGGCAGGTACCATTGCGGCAGATGTTCGTTCTCGGTTGAACGTGGGTAAGCTTCCCACCTTTGAGGAATATGTGCAAATGGTGAGGGAGAGGACAAAGCGGCGAGAGGATATGTTGTGGAATGATAAGCGAAAACAGGAAAGACTCAATGCCTTCTGCGAAGCCAAGGATCGTCACACGGAAGAAAACATAGAAAAGATAAAGAGAACAAAAACAAATCTCTTTATGGAGTCGCAGGTGGTTCAAAGTGAGATCAAGAGGCGGAACCGAGAGTACGAAAATCGACGACGCAGAATGAGGGAGCACCGAGTGCAGGTGGGCCTGGCAAAGAAGGAAATGGGAGCTGCCGAACGTCATATGAAGCGACTTTTTCGTGCAAAGGAGAAGCGTTTTGAACACGACGCAGAGGAAATTTTTAGACGGTTACTGAAGGAGAAAATCCACGCAATGGACGCGACAAAGAGGTGGGACATAAAATCGGTGCGCGCTCCCTAGGTTTACGGTAGAGCTACGGTGATGTAAAAATGAAATGTAATTTGAAAAAGCGGCGACAACTGCTTTCAGTTCTTTTGCATTCTTTGTTTGTTGTTGTTGTTGTTGTTGTTGTTATTGTTGTTGTTGTTGTTGTTTTTTTCTTGTGCGTAATTATTTATGTGTCTATTTATGGTGTTGTATCCAACGTGTGTGTTTTGGGGTGGGATGTGTGAGAGCGAGGGATAATGAATTCTCGCCGGGCCTCCATCGCGCGGCGGTGGGGGTTCTGCTTGGTGGTTTCATTCTCTCCCATCTCCCCTGCCGTGTTTGTTTGTTTTGCTGTTGTTGTTTTTCGCAGAACGTAGGGTAGAGTGCGTTTGGTAGGCGCGGGTGTGCGTCTGACGAGAGGGGAGGGGGAAGAGGCGGTGAGGGTTTTTTGTTTGTTTTGTTTGAGGGACCTGACGGATTTTACCGCGTTGGTTGCGAGCGGGGATTCATGACGGGGAACTTTGAACAGTCTCACGAACCATTTGCGAGCAGCAGCACGGATGCGGATGATGGCTTGACGGCGTCCCCAAAGTTTTACAGCTATCGCCGGATAATTGCCCTTCCCGCCACTCCACCGGACGCCGCTTCCGCCTCACGGGTGAATGGGACTGCTTCCACGCAACTCCCATCCTTCTGCCCTCCTCAGCAAGAATGCTCAAGTCTGTTAGCGGCAGATCGCGTGACGTTTGTTTTGTCGCAGGTGACACCACCACCTCGCGTGGTTGAATTCACGGTGATCCTGCATGTATACGACCTGAGTCGCGGCCTTGTTAACCGGCACAGTGAGGAGCTCCTGGGTTTCAACGTTCCTGGCCTCTACCACAGTGCGGTGGTGTGTTACGGGATGGAGTTTATTTTTGGGGGTGGAATCGCCGTCATGGGTGCTGGTCATACTCGTTTTGGGAAGAAGTATAAAAAAATTCTTCTTGGCACAACTAAAAAGACACTCAGTGAGTTTATGACGTGGATTCGTGAGCGTGAGAAGGACACATATCATTTGAATGCCTATCACCCGACAAAAAACAACTGTCACACCTTTAGCAAGGACGCGGTGGGATTTCTGCTTGGACCCAACGGTTCCATTCCGTCCTTTCTTACAACCGTCATTGACCATCTTGTCAAAACAAGGCTGGGTAAAGGCGTATTGGAAGTGTTGACGCATTATCTCATATACCCAAAATGCATCACGAATCGTCTGCTGAAGGAACATATGCTAGAACGGAAAAAAAGTGCGATGTCTATTGCGCAATCGGCAGTAGCATGCGAGCTAATGTCACAACCACCGCCATGTGTTGTTCTCTTTCATGTTGATGATGCCACCAAGTGTCGTCAAGTCTTTGAGGGACTTATGCCGTATGTTGAGCAGTTGAAACAACGCGGAAAGGTTGATCAAAGCGCCAAGATGATATTGACATCTGCATTTATTATCAGTACAGGAGCCGAGTTAATAGATCCGACGATCGCCTCGGATTATATTGAATTGGTTGTACGTATTTTGATGTACACGCATACAACGTTATGGGGACCCGTTCTTAATTCTCTGCGCATTGCTCTGTTACACAAGGTGGTGCTATGTGCATGTGTGTTTCATCCTACTCTTCTTGCTTTGCTGGCGAATGGTGTGCGGGATTTTCTAAACATGACTCCTGAAGGCAAACTTTCTTTTTTGCGGGTGTTGTGTAATTTGTCCTCTGGCCTTCACGGCGCTCTTGCGCTGAATTCCAGCCGCTTTGCGCTTATGTGGGTAAGTGTGGTCGGACTGGCGCTTGCAGATTATAGAAACGATGCCATTGTTTACACGGGAGCTTCACTGGCTGTAAATTTGGCGCATGCATTTGTTCTGACAACAATTCCTCGGGTGTCAAAGGATCATGGTGCACTTTTTTCGTTTCATCGCATTCGTCAGTTGATGACAATACTTCTTTTTTATTTACGTCACTGGCCCCCAAAACGAATACCGGAGGCAGCAATGAACATGATGCTTCTTGCTCTCTTTTTCCTCATGTCCAGCCACCCAGAAAACGTGGAGTTTGCGGCAACTCATGGATGCAGGCTAAATTATGCCTGCATGCTACAGAGGGCACAGACGAATGAGAGTAAAGCACTACTTTGTCTCATGCATGCTCTTGAGCAGTGCGGTCAAATGAGTTGTGTCAATGTTATCAACTGAGAGTCTGTGAGTGCATAAAGAAAGAAAATTGTTTTTGAATAAGAAGGATGCATTTTTGATCTTCGCTAAGCTAATTGTGATGATGATGATTTTGTTATTGTTACTGTTGTTGCTGTTGCAGCAGCAGTTGTTTGATTGGCAGTGATCCCCATTTTGTTTGTTGTCTTGATTATTTTTATGGACGCTTTAAGATTTTTTATTTGTTTAAACCGAATTGTCGGAGTAAATCCTTTTTTTTTTTTTTTGGTTCCCCCTCCCAACTGCCGCTGCCGCCGCCGCTCTGTCTTTGAAGCGAAAATGTTTGTATGGGCAGATGTGCCTTTTTCTGGACTCCGCTCATTTTTATTTTTATTTTTTTTGCACTTTTCCTTCTTGGGAATTTTTCTATTTGCTGCAATGTTTGTGTGAAATTACCCTCTGATTGTTTGATGTGAGGGGGAAGGAGCATATTTAAGAACAGAGGATCAGTTCCTGCACGTTTTTGCGTTGGTGAGATGCTGCACGCGGCTGTGAAACCTAGTCTTCCAGCGTCAGGCGTCACACATTCTCTTGTCGGGCAATTTTCTGCCGGGCTTCCGGCAGGGGTGAGAGAGTTGATTCTGTTCAAGAAGAATAAACTTGAGCTTTGGCGGATTTCATGTGGCGAGGAGTGGGTGTCCTCCCTTTCTTATGTCGCCAGCACACAGCTGAACGCACCACCGGTCTCCGTTGCCATCTGCCGGCCTCCTGGGTTTGCTGTTGACGTTGTCGCCATGTGCCTTGATGATTTTCATGTGTCATTTGTTCAGTACGACCCAGTTCGTATGCGTCTTTCCACGTTGGCACTCGTTCAGTTGGACGACCGGGAGGTAGTGAATGATGTGATGCCATTGGAACCCATCATGCGTGCGGATCCAACAGGTCGCTTTGTTGCAGTGTTGGCACGCCGTCGTCATATGTTTTTGATTCCCTTGTTGGGTCTTACTCGGCCCGAAAATGGTGATTGCGTCACCGGAATTCATTTTGAGGCTGAAAATAACACAAAACTGAAGGAGGCCATGGCACCTGTAGATGATTGGGGTGATGAGGACGACTACAAGGGACTTGCTGAGGAAACGGATCCATCCATTCCGCCCGAGAAGGAGACGACGGTCCATATAGAGCCTGAGAAACACGATTCGAGGGTTGTAGATGTCTTTGATGGACTACTGCACATTGGTCACCTCTCCATGTTTTCCGTCTCACTAGCAGTAAATGGTGTCATTCGCTATGTTCGGGACATGCAATTTATTGACTCTTCAGGAGAACCCATTGTTGCCTTTTTGTGCGAACGGCACCCTACATGGGCGGGTCGTGTGAAATTGGTGGAATGGCGCACTAAGGCGGTTGAATCTAAAATGTTATCATCCCAAATTGTTTGGGTACAAATATCGGCTGCATCCACGTCCAACCGAAAATTACTCCTCATTGGCGAGGTCGACGATGTGCCATACAACGTGACACACATGACTCCCGTCGGGCCGTTTGCACAGATTCCCTCCGGTGTCATTTGCTACGGCATCAACACTGTGATGCACGTCACAACAAAGAGAGGGTATGGAGTCTATTTGAACAACGGCGGAATGGAGGAGTGTGCAAACAGCAAGTCATCCGCCATGTCGTATGGAAAGGTGGGTTGGTGCGATCCGAAGATGGAAGCCTCGACGGCTCTTTTCATGGTGAATCTCTCCTTGGCAAACTGTACTGCGTCCTTCATGAGCATTGTAAACGAGATGCTTCACTTACTTGTCGTATCGGAGGAAGATGGAGTGGTGCTAACACTTTCCATCACGGCACAGAGCTCATCCGTTCAAGGCATTCGTATCGCCATCCTCGGTACCGGCTGCTACTGTTCAGGCATTGCCCGTATTGGAGATCAAATTGTGTTTTTGGGTTCCGCCTGCGGCGACTCATGCATTGCCAAAGTTGACATGTTCCACAGCGATGCTGCCAAACGATTTCAAATTATAGAA